ATCTTGGTGATTGTTATGAGCATGGAACTGGAATAGAAAGGGATGAACAAAAGGCAGTTGAATGGTATCAAAAAGCTGCTGAACAAGGTAATGTTTATGCACAATGTAATCTTGCTTTGTGTTATAAAAATGGAACTGGAGTAGAAAAGAATGAACAAAAGGCAGTTGAATGGTATCAAAAGGCTGCTGAACAAGGATATGATAAGGCATTATATAACCTTGGTGTGTGTTATGCAAATGGAACTGGAGTAGAAAGAAATGAACAAAAGGCAGTTGAATGGTATCAAAAAGCTGCTGAACTAGGATATACTGATGCACAATATAATCTTGGTATGCGTTATGCAAATGGAACTGGAATAGAAAAAGATGAACAAAAGGCAGTTGAGTGGTATCAATTAGCTGCTAAAAAGGGAAATGTTCTTGCACAACATACTCTTGGTGTTTGTTATAAAAATGGAATTGGTGTAGGAAAAAATGAACAAAATGCAGTTGAATGGTATCAAAAAGCAGCTGACCAAGGATATGCTCATGCACAATATAATCTTGGTAATTGTTATTATTATGGGATGGGGAGTAGAAAAGAATGAACAAAAGGCTGATGAATGGTATCAAAAAGCAGCTGATCAAGGAAATTCTTATGCCATTGGTTGGTATTCACATTATAATTCTTGGAGAAGAGTGGGCAAGAACAAACAAATGATAGCTGCAAAACTAATAGAACCATATAGATCTTATCCTATAACAAAAAATAGAATACAAGAATATGTGCATTTTACTTCAGATGATGAAAGTTTACTCTCAGATTATGAGATGTTCTGGTCAGAAAATACACAGCTAACATCAGATAATAAGGCCTCCAGGTTAATATCACAGTACCACCAACATTTGACTTCAGATGATGAGAAATCCAGGTTAGAAAATCCACAGTCAACATTAGATAATAAGGCATCCAGCACCACATTGGCAAGGTTAAGGAGGTGGTGCCAGCTACTAGTCAAAAACTCAGATCTGAGAACTAGAAAACTAGAAAACTAGAGAACCTGGAAATTTCAGAGTCTGAGAACCTGAGAACCTGAGAACCTGAGAACCTGAGAATTTTAGAACCTGAGATCTTGAGACCTGAGATGATTTCTTACCATATATAGTAATAGTATTTTACATTTATACATGGAAAACCAACATTTCACAGTATCTCAGTACCTCACACTTTAGTACCTCAGTATTACTTAGTCTGTCTGTTTTGTAACTTGGTTTACAGCTCAAAGTCAAGCATTTGGTTACAAGTTAGTTGATTATACATTATCTTATCAGGTACTAATAATACAATAATATTTATTAGTCTCATTAATCCGAAGTCCAATATAAATAGTACAAAGCTTAACTTTAACGAGTTTCTCTTCATAGACCGGATCTATTATAATTATGGAACTTAACTTTATTTATTATTTATTATTCTAACAAGTAATTTATTTAATTCGCGCACATCGATATATAAGCTTTGTAAACATAATCACTATTAATAAATTGGTGACCAAAATTTTCTTCGGTAAGAGGAATTCGAATTAACGATATTAATATTCGGATTAATATTAACGCGAATTCGGAGTAACGAAGTTGACTGTATATACTAACTACTGATCGGTCACACACAATCGATTGTGTATTAGTATACGATTTTATTATAAAAATTACAATGCATGGGAAGCGTAGTTAGATATCGGTAGTAGTAGTATCACAAACATAGGGGACCTCTTATCGTTATATGAAAAGCCATATTAATATTCGAAGTTTTTTTTTGTGCCGATCATTGCCGATCATTGCCGATCACTTTCAATAGTAAAAAAACGCAAACTTCAAATCCCTAAGGTTTTTGAAGGAAGCAAGCTAACTATATCAATACTTGCGCTATAAAAAAATGTAGTTATTTTTTAATTTTCTAATAAAAAATTGGAGAAATATTAATTAAAAGAAATTTTACGTTTGAAGAAAACAAGCTACGCTAATAAAAGCTATGCCCTAACACGCACTTTACAAGAAATAATACTACTATTTCGTTTCCCTTGAGTGTAAAATTTCTTTTATTTAATATCTTTTTATAAAAAATTAAAAAGTAACCATATTTTCTTATAGCGCAAGTGCTATACTGTGTATTGGTATAGTCTTTATGAGCATGGCTTGCTTCCTTCAAAAACCTGAAGTTTGCGTTTTTTCACTATTGAATCGGCAAGTGATCGGCAATGATAAAAATAGAATTAGACCCCTGAGAAAAACAGACAACTGACGCTAAATCGAGTAATAAGCATCTCTCTTTATCGTTATGGCTTCTCAGCGGACAGATTAGTTTGCAGTCTGCAGCGTTAGTTCAGAGTATATCTTTTTCCGAACAACTTTTTGAAGGGAAAGAAGATATGTATGAGTAAAGCGAGAGGACAGCGAAATCTGAGACCGTGACTAAAATTTGTTTATATACTTTGGAATATAACTCACTGCAACAAATAAGAGTCTACATAAGTACTAGCTGTAGTTTTTTGTCAGTAACGGGTTAGGGTTGTGGTACCTTGCAAGAGCGTCAAATTGATTCTTTTACGTATTGATGATGTTTGATTAAAATGTGAGCATTAGATTCCTGGTTGTTGAGTTACGACAAAAATTGATTTCGCGTCTTTGAATGATCAAAACCAAGCGGTATGGTCAAATTTAATATTATGTGTCAATTTTTTACACCCACGTTGGTAACGTTATCATTAACAAGTATGTGAGTTTCATGAGCATTGGACGACTGTTGTTAATGAGTGACGACAAAAATTGATTTCGCGTCTTTGAAGGATCAAACCAAGCCGTATGGTCAAATTTAATATTATGTGTCAATTTTTTACACACACGTTGGTAACGGTTATCATTAACAAGTATGTGAGTTTCATAAGCATTGGATGCCTGGTTGCTGAGTTGTTAATGAGTGACGACGAAAATTGATTTCACGTCTTCAAAGAATCAAACCAACCGGTATAGTCAAATTCAAATTGTATTAAATATTTTGTGTCAATTTTTACACACACATGGACATTAACAAGTGTGTGAGTTTCATGGCATCGGATTCCTGTTGTTGAGTTAGTAACGATTAGCGACGAAAATATCTCGCGTCTAACCTTTATGTCCTTAAAGCAGACGTGCATTGACGATGATACAATTCTTAAGAGAGAGTAACATGATGAGCGGCCTTTAGAAGTGTGTAAGAGAAACAAGACTTACAGATCTTGGGAGTGTATGTTGGTATTTCGTCAAGAATAACAGCAATATCAACGATTACAATCAAGCCTGATGACTCAAATCTGCCAAACTTATCAATAATATATCGCCCAGCGCTCAGCTTCAATCCTCGCCATATCATCAAGAGCTGATCGAATATGCAACATTGTAGATGCATCGTCACTTACCGACAGGCGTGCCAATAATACTTGCGAAGTCCGCCGATAGACAATTACAACGAAAAGACATCGATGTACATGTTTCTTGCTTTACATTTTATGCTGATGTCTTCGTAACCCCTCCCGTTGAGCCTCTACCTTGTCTTGACCGTCCACTCGATGCACATGTTTGACTGACTTATCATACATCTTCCAAATCCATCGTTATTGCATCCTCGAGATCATCCCTTTCCACGTCTGCGTAAAAGCTCTCCACGATTATTATGATTCCTCGTTTTAAAAGATAGGGTTCAGCTGTCTCGCGAGCTTTGACTGACGCTTTTCGTTGTCTTGCAGGGCGTCTGCTTGCTTTTCGTTTGCTTTCCACTACATCTTTTGGTAATACTCTCTGGAAGGGAGAAATCGCCTGTAGGATATTATAACCGGAAACAGTGAAGTTGTATTCTGTGTGGTGTTGATAATGACAACGATGAGGATTTGACGTGATGTCGGTGATGCTGAGACTGTTGATGACGACGACGACGACGACGACGGAGGTAGTGATAACTCCATTACGGATGAGGGTATAAAATTAGAAAGAGTTGTAGTGGAGTAGATGATGGGTATTGGTAGAGCGCAGTTATGTTATCTGCTGAAGATGGTGGGGAAACGATTGGGAGGTTCGCGTTGGTATTGGTGTCGGGGGTCGGTGTTGGCGCAGCCGGGGTTGGAGTAGAAGTTTGGGACGAAGGAACAGTGTTTGCAAAAGAGAGACAGATGAGATGAATTTTAATAAAAATGAGAAATATTATAGTTAATCAATTGCACAGTTATTATGTCATGAATTGACACTTGTATGATCATGTCGCTCGCATAATGAAAGAGTATAGCTTCAAGCATGATCTCATATTCTGATAAGTATTTATCATCCTACACTAGCCACCGAAACAACTCATCGTACCTCACTTGCGATCAAATTATCCACATTCCAATCAACCATAACAGTTACATTTCCAACCCAGACAACCTTTCCCGATAGTCATTTCCCTCTTATCATCTCCATACGCACAAGCAAGCCAATACTCACTGGTCAAAGCCGCTAAAGAAGCCGACGAGCTTCAATAAGACTTCTCATCTCCTCGGGCGAATTTGACGCCTGTGCAGCCGAGATTGATTATAAGGACTGAATCCTTTTCATTCCTTGATTACGTGTACACTCACTTTCGCTGATCAAAAAGTCCCGAAGTTGATAAAGCGGTAGTGTCTACGTTACACATAGATTTTCATACGTGGAATACAGGAATACATTTTGCTGAAGAGAGTGTGACTTGGTGCTCCGGCATTTAAGAATATCATGGACATACTGCCGACTGTTAGATCTAGGTCTGTAATATCTTCATATGAAGAGGAGAGATGACGGAATATGGCTTGTTTTGTACTGAAATTTCACCTGTTTTATTTTCAGAACAATCTTCGTATAATTAAATAAGAATGAAATAACGACATTCCGCATAACTTTAATAAGTACGTTTGTTATAGATTATTGCATATAACGCGCTCGGAATGTCTACTTTGCTGATTTTGTTACCGCGATTGCATTTCACCCGAAGGTACTAATAGGGTTACATTCAGAATGATTATGTGAAATTTGGGGCGTCAGTATTGTTAACCTGTCCATGGTTTTAACTTCTGGTTGGTTCAGAAGTGGTTCCTTTTTGCTCAACCAGTCTTGTTGCAAATATGACATCCTTTTCCTTGATACTGAATGCATTGGACATTCTTGCGTAGGTATTTGACTTGGGGCAAAAAGATGTTTAATATATACACAGAGCTTTCCCCAACGTATTGAATCCGGATTCACTGGTCTCGTAATATCTCTATTTATACGCTTAGAATACTGATTGATGCTCCTATGCATGAACATTCATTCGCTTATGGGATATTTCTGACAAGAAAGTTACTGGATTTTTTACCAGATGGCAGGATTCTGTGACCGGAAGTTTTATTGGCTGTTTGTCTATTTACGAAATAAAGTATAATACACAATACAGGTCAAAAGCGCTCGTGGTAGAAATTCTAAGGGAAAGAATATTTCAGGTATTGAGGCAATGACAAGCACTTACCTGGACAAGGCAAGGTATTTTATCAAACTCTAGAATGTTCCAATAACAAGTTAATAAAGTACTGATTGAGACTTCTTGTCTTGTTTGTAGCTTCCTATGATTCACGTATACGTCTTTATAACATGCGTGACAAATCGCTGAAATGCAAGAAGTTGGAGATCAAATACGTGCTACGTTTAGGTACCGCATCCTTATTATTCATAAATCGTTCGTATGTTTCTCCGTACTTATCTAGCTCGTTAAACATAGTACTGAATGGGCAATATATTATTTGTGAATCAGAAGATCGGAGCCAGTGTACGTACCTATGGAAGACTGACCAGTCGAAAATGCGTACGTCAAAGAGTAATGGAAGTGGATTCCTGCCGAAGAAGATAAATTGAGCTACGAGTATTTTAAGGTAATAAGGCATGTGTTTTTAATATATATACCATGCGCATGATTGATTGCAATAATAATAACGTTTTTTTAATCCGTCATAGTAACTGTTACCGTATTTGCACGAAAAGACTGATAGCACAGTACGTGACCCAATCCTTGCCCGAACGCAAGATAACGCTGAAAAAGACTCAGGATCGCCAACCTATCCGGACGGCAATATCATTGCGTGTCGATTACAGTGGGCGGTATCAAATTTTCCGTAATGATTGTGCGTACTATCCCCAACCAAGATCCGAGTAATGTTTTCAAGAGCAGTATCGTGTAAATATAACGGATTTAAAGTCATGCAATGTATTACTTTATTACCTATGATATACGCATTCGCTATTATTAGTTACCAATAGCGTCGGTGAGCGTCACTACGTTAATATTAATATGGTTATTTAGAGTTTCTATACACGCACATATATATGTCCATTGATCCAGATGTAGAGCCAAGTCCTCTTCGAATCTTGCTGAAATTATTAATTGCTTTAGGTTGGGTTTCAATATTTCTGTAATTTAAACATCTCCATATTATAGCATTAACTGACCATTTCTTCACTGGGGGTGCGTCGTCAGATATAACAATCATTTTCCCCTGTATTAGTATTCTTTGCCAACGTGCTGCTTCAACATTGCTGCTTTAGCATGGCCCATGTGCAAATTACCACCGGCCTCTTGTGGGAAGCGGGTGGCCCCCTTCGTCTTATTTTGCGTCGATTAAATAAAGGTTCATTTTTGTCGCTTTCAAACGACCAGTCATTGTTGTCGTTGGGTGGTGTGCAGCTGAGTTAGTATTGACCTCGCGGTTGCCTGTTTTTATTTTCCCTTGATAACCCGGCTTACTACCACGTACAGGAACTATAAGAACGAAATTTAACAATAGTGGTTGATAGTCAGGTCAACTTATTATTATGTTATAAAGTATTTTGCACACAATTTCCTTAATCTAATGAAAAGTGGACAGACTCAACGAATAAATATATCTATATCTAATAGTAATATTAATAGAATTCTCGTTTAAACAATTGGGATAATACTATTATCAATTTCACGATGGAAGTAAATACAACTTCCTAAGATATCACTATGATTTTGTTCAGAACAGCATAGTATATGCTTATTAGTAGTTGACTTAAATACAGGAACACATTTTTCCGAAGGAAGCACTATACTTGTAAATGCACTATTACATCGTCGACTTGAAAACAGAGCTTGATAAGCTTCCGATCGTATCTGCTTGATTTTGTTTTTAAGTTTAAATTCGATTTCACCATATTGCCGGTCATCTGGAATGATACTATTAATTTTTGCTCATAAGTAATCAATAGAAAACCAAAGCCTCAACAGTAATATAAAACTCAACAGTAATATAAAACATAACAGTAATATAACACTCATACCAGTAAGCGATTTCAACACTTTCTTGCGGCAACCCTTCTATTTTGTAAGATCCGTTTTTATCACGTTTGTAGGCTGTTATGCGTAAAACAAGTATTAACTGACTTATTACATACATCACCATCATAATAATATCGAGTCCTTGAAACTGACTTTATTGTTAATTAAATATAATAAATATATACTTACCAGAAATGCATACTTCACTAATATTGGCGCCATCTCTGTGAAGGTGCACTGCAAACATCATATAATTGCCAGTACGTTGCGTTACATAACAAGTAACTAAGACAACTCTTTGATTAAAACTTTGAATATTTGGAAGCATTGGCAATGATGCAACTAACTTATCATCTCTCTTTTCTCCTTTGACAGCAGCAACCTCGACAGGTAATTCATCAACTGCTTGGGAATTAAATGTTTGTGGATACCCTGTGATAATGTAGGCTATTTTCAATGTATAATTCTTCAAAAATAAATTATTGAGGCTACCAGTTTCCCGAATTTTTGAAACATGTATATTTGGTGGCCCAATCATCATCCGTTCAATATTCGCTGTAAATATTGCATCACTCTTTTCATCACACATGACCTCTGCAAAAATTTGATGCTGGCTAATTCCTTTCCATACATCAGAATCGACTTTTAGTGGACGCACACACAGGTATAAGAGCTTTCTTGAGAACTTCAATTCATTAATCCCATAATAGCATATTCTTGGTCCAAATGTTTCAATAATAGCATCTCGTGCAGTTCCCTCGAAAATTTCAAATATTGGAACTATATCTTCATAATCTACTACCTCCCAGGTAAAACAATCATCAAGTGTTTCAAGCCATTGCTCTTAATTATAATGTTAAGAGAGAGAAATTAAATTCAGCCATATTAATATAACTAAAAAAGCTTCCTTTTTATAAAACTTTCAATACCTGTATCATCTTCATGCTTGTAAGCTGTCTCATCTCCACCAACAACTATAATATTCCTGTCCGAATTGCTGGACGAATTTTGGTTCAGCCTTTCATTATTCCGTCTTGTGCCAGCACCTATCCCCATTGGTGTTGTTTCCAACCTGGCGTCAGCGTCTATCGTTCTACCAGTTGATTGAACATTGGTTTCTTTATGCTCTTCCTCGTTTTTAACTATCAACCCTCCCAATCGTATTGTTCTCGCCCAAAAATGCCCATATTTCTTGCAAACTTCATTCAGGGCGTCACGCTTCTCCTCTTGACTTTCCGATTCCAAAGCTTGCTCTACTTTACTCTTGAATTCCTCAGAAGGTTTTATATGCTCTCTTTTCATCAGTAATGTCTTTCGACTATATCTTTCGAGTATCCGACATGATGTGTGTTCAATTTCGTTTGATCCTTTTTGCGCAAAGTGTGCGCCTATCGAACCAGTAAACGGTAACCTAATATCATCAATTGTTATTACGTTTATGCATTAACCTATATTAATATGTCAAGACAAATTCTTACCACGACATGTTCAAATCAAGTTTCCATTCAATGCCATTTTCACAGAGTTTCTTGTTACTTTTTTCGAATCTACATCTATATTCAGGCCGATGTGTTCCAAATTCATGTCTGTTAAACTTGAATGCTACATTATCAGACTGTTTCGGTCCGTTTTCAGTCCATCGAATGCCGCAATCTAACTTCTTCTTTTCAATCAAACGACATATTACTTCTTCAATCTTCTCGCTTCGCTTGATGCGAAGTTCGCTGTTATCTCCTAGTATCTGGTGCAGATAAATGGTTGCTTCTTCGCTCCTTGGTATAACATTCGGACCTCCTTTGTTACAAAAGTACATATCGAACTTCATAATAGATTCGCCATTTTTACATTGAGAAAGTACCTCACGGATTTTGTCGAGCGTCATTAACGGATCTAGTGTCGCCGTGCTCGGTTGTTCCGAATGTGGGCAATTGAGAAAGTCTATATTAACCAGAACTTTCTCACTTCGCTTGATGCGGAGTTCATTATTTTCACCGAGTATTTCGTGGAGATGAATACTTGCTTCTTCACTCCTTCGTATCACATTCGGCCCCCCGCTGTTACAAAAGTACATATCGAACTTCATAATGGACTCGCCATTTTCATCGCATTGACAGAGCACTTCACGGATTTTCTCGAGCGTCAATGACGTTTCCAATCTCGTCGCTCTCCACCCTTCCGAATGTGGGCAATTGACAAAAGTTATATTCACCAGTCTCCAGGTATTAAAAAAAACGTCCATTCTAGCCTTCTTTCATGTCTGTTTTTCGGTTCAAACCAGTTCTACAGATACGTCACGTGATGTTGTTGTACGAAAAATGCATTCTATGTGATAAATAGAAATCCCGAAATGGACCAATTCTCAGAACATTATTATGAGAACTGGTGATTGTTAGACTTTTACTAATAATTGGCTTGTCCAATTATTGCATAGCTTGGTGGCTTGTTCTCTTGCCTGAAAGTTATTGTTCTGTTTGATGTTTCTCGGAGACATTTAAGAAATAATGTTAGTGATAAACGAACTGTTCAATAAAAATTCATTTAGTTTACATTTGACATTGTTTAGGATCGCATTTAAAATAAATCCAGATATGAAATTTGTTTTACAGCAAAAGTTACAGAATTTTTGTGTAAAAAATCCAACAAGCCTGCGTGCTTGGGTCGGTACTCAAAAAACAAGGTGTACGTTCATGAAGACATAATGTAGTCGGGAATCGGCACTAACGTCGAATTGGTTCGCATGTTTAATCAGAGTAGACTGAACGCGTAGGATGCTTAGAATAGTTGCTATTAAGAAAAGATAAAAACACTAATTCAAAATCACAAAGAAATTGAAGTAATGGAGTTAAAGCGAACTATTACGACTACATAGGCGATCTTTGAGTATAGTAATAGTTCACAAAATTGAGACAAACGAAAGTCGCTGGTTGCTGAACGCCAACATACTTATCCCTAACGTCTTGTTGAATAAAGCGGACGTGTTTGTATGGAATTAAAAATATCTCACTTGGTCTGCGAGGAACTGATTAATCTAGATTAAAATATAACGGCCGGGAATTGTGTCGGCAATAGTATTGACACTTTCACCAAACTTTGCTTGCTTGGCGGGACGATTGGATTTACTACGAAAGGATAGTAAAAAGTGCTTTTTTTTATTATGCGTGAGTAAATTTAGTCAATACCCTTGTCGTCTTTACTAATGTAATATATTGTAGGCCTTCGAAACTCATTCTTAAGTGTGCGGAGCTGTATTACCCGATAACAATTGTCTATTTTCGATCGGAAGACTTCGCGAAAGCCGTTGTATACGGACGGTGCGCGGATTTAAACTTTTCTTTCGCCGCTATTGAAAAGTGACGATTATACGCAAATCTACTATAGCGATATCTCTAAATTTATTGGAATGCTCTTTCGATCAATAATGTCGCTCGACTTATATCTTTCGAGTAGCTAAAGCATCTTTTTTTGATATGTTCATGTTCATAACATTTACTTCTTGTATCATTGACATATCTAGTTATTTGCTATCAGTACTTTGAATGTGAAGGATGGCCAATAAGCAGAGTAGCTCAACCTCCCAGAATGTAGGCGACTGGGAAATGTGACACTTATTAACTAAGCACGCAAATGGAAAATTTCTCCATTTGTAATGAATGGTGTTCATTCTGTCATACAAAATAGTTTTAGCGAGGAAAGTTTGCAGATCTTAAATCGGGAGGTAGGTTGTTATCCACAATCGAAATGACTCTAATCAAGGATTTCAGGCTATGCCATGGTTTATTGTTTGATCAAAGCGGTGTGCGTCTTGCACATAAACGTGCGGTTCAGGCAAATTGGTCCATCGAAGAATCACCAAAGACGAGACCTTCTGTACAGCTTACAAACATTCACAGAACACGAGATACCTTTGTATATGCAAATAACCTTGCACTTGATAAAGAGAGAACTCTCTTTAATCCCCCGAAACCATTTTCTCGTTTTAAAGAAAACAATCCCTTGTATGATGAGACGCCTGATAACGCAGTTATCTTCCGGATAGACAAAGAATTGTGGAATATCAATCTCACACGTGAAGATATCAAACCGACCGATGAATTTGTTGAAGCAATAAAGAAAGCGATTGAACATAATACACCGCTTAGAGCATTGGATGATGTATTCTCTGAATACGGATATTGGATGAATTGCAAAGTTAAAGTGGGTTGCAGATTAGAACGTTTTATTCAATTTCAGACTTCGGCGCTCGGAAACGAATACGATCACGAGGATGTTGAATTATTTCAAACAGAATGGATAGGCGATGAGAGCTTGGGTAAGTATTTAATTGAATTGCTGATCAACGACTCCCAAAGGCGCTGATTGGAATTTACTGTATATTTAAAGATCGCGAAAATGGTGCATACAAGGAAATTTGCGCTGAATGGTCAAAGAGAATACATCCCCTTAGGAGTAGCTACTTACTTTCCGCTGACAGTTCCTTAATCAGAATTGAGTAAGAATTTATCTAGATGTTGACTTTTTTTGTTCTAGCAAAAATTTAATACGTATTTGACATGGTCAATAGGAAAATAGGCGAATGGTTAGAATACAGTCCGACAACAGCTAGCCAATGGAGCGTGATTGAAAGAGCCGACTTTGTTCCGACTTATAAATTGCTGGATGAATCTTTAATTGCCAAGGTCGAAAGGTTATTCAGTGACGAAACAGAAGTACTTATGACTGGTGAATCACCGATAGATTGTCAGTGCGCTGATATCTGTCAAGTCAAGTTCTTTAAACCGTTATTGAGCGATGCATATAAGGTTGATGGGGATGTCTACAACAGCGGGAAAAGATGTGATGTAGCTGTAACACTGTATTTTGCCAGCATTTATGGATTTTCTCTTGAAATTGAATGGGATGAATTTCCGTAAGTTCTCTACTGTGTAATCGTTTTCTTAGGACACTATTATGCTTTCTTCTCTAAATTATTTACTGTTACAATTTTAGCAAAGAAGTTGAAGTTATGTATGTCAAATGGAAGTTGACAGGCAATCGTGCTAAGATTGGTTACTCTGATAATGGAGTAGAAAAAGACAAACAAAGGGCAATTAAATTGTATCAAACGGCAGCTGACCAAGAAAATGCTGATTTCCAATATAATCTTGGTGTGTGTTATGCAAATGGCACTGGAATAGGAAAAGATGAACGAAAGGCAGTTGAATGGTATCAAAAAGCAGCTGAACAGGGACATGCTATTGCACAATATAATCTTGGTATGTGTTATGCAAAGGGAACTGGAGTAGAAAAAGATGAACAAAAGGCAGTTGAATGGTATCAAAAAGCTGCTGAACAAGG